ATATATCAAGAATTGCCATGCCTATATACAATGGCTTATTAAATTTCAATTCTAATTTCCTCATCTCAATAGCCATTAAATCATCATCAAAAATTGTTCTATTATGAAAATTTGGACTAGAAATCATATTTTTTGCTCCGTACCTCCCCTCATAACTATTTATCAGTCTAATTAATCTATGCTTGCGAATATTTTCCATGGTTTTGCCATAGATGGCGTTGATTTTTATTTTGTAATGCTCTTTTTGAAAGTCTGTAATAGCTAGGGTGCGCAATTTTGTGTTAAGTTCGATATAGGGCTTTAGCCAAGTCGATTGTTTAAATTCAAGAACTCTATGAACTTTGGTTAATATTAACCCATGTTCCAAAACTTGTTTTAAACTTCGATAGTGTAAGATATATTTTTCTTTATTATATAAGGTAGTTAATAACTTAGGTAACTTACAATCTTGAGGTATACGGTGCTCTGGGCAAAATGGTAAATCTTTATGTTTATCATGTAAACTTTTTGGATAAGTTAAATCTACTTCTAAAATGTATCCCACTAAACTATCATCAGGTATTACTGTAACATCAATATTAGTGTCAGCCCATTTAAATCCCCCGTATGGAAGAGGTTGTATCATTCCATATCCATATAAATTATTTATATCTAAATATAAAATATATTGTGAGGGTTGACTAGGATCATAATTTTTCATATACTTGTTGTTAGCTTGAGAGTAACGGTTTGAACATTGTGAAATTCCTCCTCGTAAGGCTTTTTCAATAAACATTATAATATCTATATCGTCTAATAATTCAAGCTCACATTTTGTAAATTTTAGCATACAATCCCAAGTGTATCCTGGCACTGTATAATACCAAGCAGGATCTAAATCATGTGTCATATGACCAATCTCACGAAAGCTTTCAAAAACATCTGTAAGAAGCATTATATCAGTTTTAAGATATAGAAGACTGTATTCTAATAGATTTTTAATATTAAATTTATCCCAAACAGTTTTTGCGTGCTGATACTGTTCTTTACTAATATGACTATCATTTAATTTGTTATAAAATTTATCTATGGGTGGTAACTCTGTTTCTTTAAGTTTATCCCAACAATTAATATAATCATAACAAAATACTCCTTTACGTGAAAGTAAATCAAATGTTTCCTCATCCAAATTATTAAATTCCTTTTTCAAATTTTTAAAATCCTCTTTTTGTAGCGACGACGATAACGTATCGAGAGAGGCTCCCATGAATCTAAACGAATCAATAAAACGAAATTTAATTTCAGTATTTATATCCTGATACGTGAAAGAAATATATTTTTCTTTGTTAATAGGTAATAAACTTATTTTACTCAATTTGGCAAGATGCTTTATTATGAAGTGACTATCATAGCCTGTCAAATTGTGAAATACAATTGGAACAATAAATTTTTTCCTGTAATTTAAATTACAACTCTGATGGGCAAAATTACGAAATTTCCCGGAAAAATGGTTGTGATCGCGTACGATAATATCATTGGTATTAAAGGGTTGTTCGCAAATATGGCACATTTTTGCATCCAAAGTACTTACTGTTTCTATCATTGGAACAATATTTTTAAATTTAGATTGAACAAATTGAGCAATATGAGATATTTGCTTAGCAAACCAATCCATACAGTCTTCACCTGCATAGCTATTGAAATATGATAGATTATCGTCATATGAACATTTTAGATAATAACCTGCACTAAAAGCCCTATGGAACTGATACTTGGATGTTTTTAAATTCGGTTTATCTACAAAAGGTTCTAATATTGATTCAAAATCAGCGTAAATTATGAATGGTATTTTTTCCTTATGAACAAAATTCTTAAATTTCACAAACAAGTCTTTGGGAAATGAAACTTTAGTTTTATTTTGATCTACACAATAAACTGTATGCTCGTTTAATTTGAAATCACTAGAAAAATAATTCAAACATCTATCACAAATAAACTTTTTATGATTGCTTTTACTCAACTGATTAGATAATAATCTAGAAAGATTTTTTATCCAGCAATAATGATATTGAATGTCAATATTAAAGTCATCTATTGGTACCGCATCATAATCATTAATTTTTGGAAAATATTTATCTTGAATTAACAGCAAATTAACATGTGAAGATAATTTTTTATTGGTAAGTCTTACTGGAACAGTAAAATATATTTTCTTTCCTTTAATTTCATTTAACTCCAATACATATACATTGACTGAAATATCATTTAATTTTTCAAATTTTGAAATGTCTTTTAAAGTCATTGGTAAATCTAAACCTTCCGTTTTTAAAACCTGTTTGTAATGGGGATAAGATGATATTCTGCGAGAATTTTGTTCTACAGGAAAAAGAGCACTTACTATTGACCAATAAAAGCATGCATTATCATCATTTTCAACATTTATGCAAGCACGTTTAGTTTTTATTTCTCCAGGTAACTCTACAAAAGATGAAGCCCCATTTCCCTGCTCTAATTTATTAACGTTAACTTCTAAAGATACTATTTTCTGTAAAGCCCACCCTGATAATTTTTCCTCAAATTCTGAAATCTTATTTAAAATTTTATCTATTACGTTTTCTTCAAACCAAATGTTTAAGTTCGTTCCTACATCAATAGACTCATTTCGAGTATTGAAATATTTCAATTCTATAATATCATCATTTTCTATATTTTTTTTAATAAATTCACCACAAAATGTTGTATTGACTTTGAGCATATGAAATTTTTTTAAATTATTACTGATTCTAATTTTAAATAAATAAAATGCATCTATTAAAAATTGTGTTATGTCCTTATGCACTAAATTTATGATCACGCCGGTTCTTACACGATCCTCAAAAATAGAAATTATGTCTTCCCATTTAACTCTACTACTACGTTTCGGGCTCAATCCTTGTCCAACATGACCATTTTTTATTAAAATTAAAAATCGTTTTAAATGTCCAATATTAGTTTGTAATTTATTTAACGTTCCTACACTTAAATCTGCATCATTAATTGCAATATTACATAGCCGAATATGACTTTTAAGATGTTTAACCCAAACCTCCCCTTGACGTAATGTAAAATTATCAAATAATAATTTTTCTACTTCTTTAAATTTTTTAATAATGGTGTCACTTAATACAGCAATTTCACTTGAATTCATTTAAAATATAAAAATGTATCGCTTATCTAATTGTAAAATACTCACCAATATACTCTTAATGATGATTCCAAATTATTCTACAATGATAAAATTGGTAGCGGGATATCCTTTTCCAATGTCTTGCAGACCCTCAAAAATTAGATAGTAGTAGTTGGGACGAAAATTTTCCAAATTTTCTTTTATAACCTGCGTACTACGCTTCGGTAGATACGTCTTGAATTCAGGGCACTCCACCACCGGAACCTCTCCAAATCTCGTTTTCACTATTTTTAACGAAACTATTAGGAACTTTTCACCCTGAGGTAAATCCTGAAGTCTCTTAGTAGGTAGCTGTTTAATCTCAACAGATTTATTTATTCCTGAAAGATCCATCTAAAATTAAAATATATTTGTAAGAATAAAATCATCTTTTTTTATTTAACATAACAAATTAGTAGTAATAAACTTACTTTTTCTATAGAGTTTTAAACTGCGGAGATCGTTGACTAATATATATGTATACTACTGACGTAGAATAACAGGCAAGTATTAGATAAACAGGTACAGGTCTTTCCTCTCGTAGACTATTGTCGATTGAAAGCAAATTATGAACTAAATAATTTTGATCTCTCCCCGAACATTTACTATAAAAAAAAATTCATATGTGGGAGTAGTAAAATATGTACACGATATAGCTAAGTAACTCGCGATAACGATGACCTAAAATTATGCCAAAATTCACATGTGGGAGTAATCACAAGCAAAAAAGAACAAAAATTTATTCATATCAAATTAAACAATCAAATCTTATATCGATTTTAATTGCAAAAAATATCAAAATCAGTTTTTGCGAAGGAAATTGATTAGCAATCTACACTTACTAATTTCATATCAAATTAAACAATCAAATCTTATATCGGTCTTAATTACAAAAAATGCCAAAATCAGTTTTTGCGAAGGAAATTGATTAACAATCTACACTTCCTAATTTCATATCAAATTAAACAATCACATCTTATATCAGTCTTAATTACAAAAAAATACCAAAATCAGTTTCTGCAAAGGAATTTGATTAACAATCTACACAACATAATTTTTTATTTCTAATTTACGCGATAACCACACAAACTAAAGAAAATATTCAATCATTTAACACCCAAAATACCCACGCAAACATACCATTATTTACATTCTAACGATAAAACCCCAAATTCCCAAAATCAATTTGACCAAGGAAGTCGATTAACACAATCTGCAACCTAATTAATATTATTTGCAATCTCACTTAATCTCGCACAAACCAACACCAAATATTCTATACACATTTTTAACACCCACGCAAAATGTACCATTATACACACACACGCAATACAACAAAAATCAACCCCACTGACGTCACACAACACAACCCCATCTCCTCACACACCCCACACAACACTTCTTCATATTCACACCCCAACTACACACATCTACCATCAACCAAGCGCCATCGAGCTCACTTATTCACATCAGTACACTATCCTACACACATTTTGAATTAGAAACGGTCTTGCTACACTACTCATGTTGTACTTGGCCCTCCTCTTTTTCTTTTTTTTATTATTCTTTTTGGTATTCTGGGTATATTCCCACATTTTCCCTTGATATTTTTTAATTTATTCTGTTTAATTTGCCTTCAAACTTTGACTACAAATGTTTTAATTAATTAAAATTCTAAAATACACTGGATTTTCGGTATAAAATAAAAGATTTAAAAATCTTGATACCATCGATAGATTTGAATAGTTAAATATATTTCAATTTAATTCAAATCTATTGTAAAGAAAAACGAAACAAAATTTTTTAATTTAAAATACTTTATTTCTTACAAATTTAATTAAAAACATTAAATATTTACAGTTTATCTAAACAGGCGCATAAAAGTATAATCTTTTACTAGGATCTTTTATAATTATAGGTCTTTTTGTAATTGGATCTAAAACGTACACGTTCTCTTCATTTTCATCTCTATTTACTAGAATTTCACTTGAATCTGTACTACTTAAAATATCTTTTATTTCAACACTAGAAAGTTTATCAATATCTGCCAACATATTTATTGATCTCGGGAGGGTTGGATCATTATAAAAAGCTTCTGGCTTAGGAACTACATCAGTCAATCTTGAAAGGGTAGCTTCAGTTACGAATTTCCCTTTAGAGTCTTTATCCGACTTTTTTTTATTGCTAACCAGAGAAGTTCTGCCCTTTTTCTGCGGCAAAAACTTCTCTTCCAGCTGTTCGTCTTGTTCAGTATTGTGTTCATCTATTTCCTCTTTATCTTCATTATTTGGTAACAGACTGATTCTTAACGAATTTTCATCAGATCCAGTAACTTGTTCGACGCTATCATCATAATCTTGATGCTGATCTTCTGCCTCATCCATTTCTTTAATGTCATCAACTTTTCTATAATTACCTCCATGTCTCTTGGTCTTATCATATACTCCAATAACTTCAACATCTTTATTTACAGGTACATCTATAACTTGTTTTGTTTGCCTAATTGGATCAGATGGGGAATCATTCCTCTTATAGACACCTCCGTGTTTCTTATTTCTGTGGAACGTTTTAAATCTTTCAGCCAATGTTTTTGATTTGTGCGTAGTGGACGGCTCTGTGCTTATTTGCTGAGTAGTACCAGACCTTCTTCTTAATACTTTAGTAGTATCATCTTGTTCTTCGTCCAAAAATTCTGTAGTAGGAGCTCGTCTTGTTGTCGGTCTTCTACGAAATACCCTTCTAATTTTTTCTTCATGAGATACTGATACTGTAGAAGATGGTGGAGGCCTTGGAGTAGTTTCCTTACTCGTTGTAGTTCTAGTGCTTCTTAAAGTCGTTGGTCTTCTTCTTCGTAAAAATGTAGCTTTAGTAGTTGGGTTTTCTGTAGTATTTATATTGGATGTTGCAGTTGTTGGCCGCCTTCTTTTTATAGTAACAGGAACTTCTTCAGTTTGTTTAGTTGCCGTATCTTCGTTAACAATACCTTCTTCTGTAATTATTACAAAAGACTTTTCCGAAGTAGGCACTTCAGTTACTGTGTATTTTTGTGCAGTATTCCTCTCGTTTTGTTCTTCGAAATCATTATCATCGTCTTCAACTGTAGTAGTTTTTGAAGTGGGCCTTTCTATAGTTTTGTATTTAGACGTATCATAAGATGTTTTCGGTAAGTAATTTTTTATTTTTGGAATAAAATCTGTGACATCAAATATGCCAAAATACTCGCCTGCATCATGGCTTTGACCGCCTGGGGCATTCTGTATGATTTTAGAGGGAATATCTTCATCTTCCGATTCTTCTTCATCATCAACAAATTCTTCATTAACTTCTGTTGTTGGTTTCTTCTCCTTTCTATCTTCTATAAGTTTATATTGATTACTTTGTCGAACTTTTGATAAAATATTTAGAAATTCTGGTGGAGTCGTTAAGATTGGCTTTAATGTGGAAGTTGTAGTTTTTTCGGTGGCCAGCTCAAGTCCCTTTTCAGTTGTTGTTGGATCCGGAATGAATATGTAATTTGCGTTTTGTTTTAGTTTCAAAACAAAATCAATGTATCCTTTACCTTCAGGAGGCGGGGTAGCAGTAGCAAAAATAGGGTCTTGTTTTGGTTTCGACGTTGGTGCAGGAGGTTCTGTAATTTCCTCATATTCAATTTCCTCCTCAACATCATCTTCTAATAATTGTGGTTTTTTAGTTGTTAAGTAAACGATTTTGCCAGTCTTTTCATCGTAGTAATAATTTTTAGGCCTGTGGGGTACATAATCATCATCGGTATCAGGAATAGCTACCTTTTCTAATTCTGTTTCCTGCTGACCCCTATTTCTAGATAGCGAAGCATACGAACCTCTACCTGTACTTCTTTTTCCTCGGCTCAAACTTGGTTTCTTTATTAACTGATTTTTATTTAAAAAATCTGAATAAACCAATATTTTTTGGTGAGGGGGCGGTTTCATACCCATTACAAAAAATTTATTCACTCTACGATTGATTTGGTTAGGACTAGAAAGTTGATTACTATTATCTCTTTTTGGGTGGTAAATAGTTTTATAATGTTTTATACCAGGTGGCATTAAACCCATTACTTTAGTTGTTTTATCTACATAGTCGTATGTATCTTCATTAACTGGAATTGTATGTCCATAATCATTGTTGATGTTTATAAGATTTTGTTGTTGTTTCCTTTTAGCTTCCCGGAGGGCAATGTATAATTTTAATTGTTGTTCAAAATTACTGTCCATATTTTTCTGTGGCACTGCCATGTTCTCTGGAGATTTTTTTACTTTGTATCTAGTACGTCTATAGGTTGTTGGTTTTATAGTTGTCGTTGTAGTAGTAGTTGTTGTTGTTGAAATAGCTGATGGAGCTAAATAATTTTGATCAACCTCTTGATCACCGTATGCTTGTAGATATGAATCTTGAAAGTAAACGGGTGTATGTTTCTTTAACTTGGCATATTCAGTTTGAGAATTTAGGGTTACCGAAACAGGTTCAGACGATTCAATAGACGTATCCAACTGTTGGATTTGTTGATCTTGAGATGCATTTTTTATATTATTTAGTATGTCAGTGAAAACATGAAGTTGTTCATTAGGTTTAATATCGTCTTTATAAAATACTTCGCTGAGCACTTTATATTTTGGTAAAACTGTGCTAGATGTTATTATTTCTCGTTTAGTTGACGGTGTAGTAGGAACAAACTTGTTAATGTCAAATATCTGGAGTTTAGTAGCTTGCGGTATTGCATTTTTAATATTACTGTTAGGCAAAAGTGGATATGGTGTTATAGGTTGAAAAATAGAAATAGGAGAAGGTGTTGTGGGTAAGAACTTATTAATATCGAAAATTTGGAATGGTGGTCTCTTTCTTCTAATTTTCCTTCGTCTTCTTAATTCCTCAGCTTCTGGAAGCATCGCATTATCATCTGATGATTCGTATGCGATATTATCTTCATCTATAGCCTTAGACTGACGTGAACTAAAACTGCGTTCCTTTTGGATGTCATTACTAGAAGATATATTATTATTATTTACTTCTTCCTGATTTGGTAGGTGTTCAAGTAGTTCAATTTGGTCATATATATGCTTTGGTTTCAAGTCAATAGTATATTCTGGGGTGGTTAATAAACTAATAGTTGGTACTACTGATTCAGTTGTACTTTTTGTTTTACTGTGTACCCTATTTGATACTTTTAAATTTTGGCTAATATCTTTATTTAAATTATCATCAAATTTTTTTTCATTGATATCTTTATTTTCTTTGGAAGAAGCAGTAAGTTTATTTTGAATTTTGTTTTGTTTTGCTAATTGATATTTAATATCTTTAAGAATACTATTATTCAATTTTTCTTCGTCAAAATTGTCCTGATTATTATTTTTTGCTTTATTATGATTAACAATTTCATTAATATTGTTATCTTCTTGATTACGTCCTTGATGATGTTTTTTGAGTTCATTAAAGATCGGTTCAATGGTGCCAACTGTTACCTCATCAAAAAAAGGACTATCCAGAGGATCTTCTCCAAAATAACGAGCTCTAAGGCAATCGATTTTATCACCCAGACCCGCTAATCTTGGAGACTTTGACTCTTCACTAACTTCACGTTTTTTTCTAGAGCTATTAACCTCTTTTTCTTCGCTTACATTTTCTTCAATTTCATCTTTATCTTCATCATCGTAATTGTCCTCATTTTTTTCTACATTTTTATTCTCAGCCTCATTAAGTGCTTTTTCGGGAATTGGATTTATTGAAGTATTTATTTCTGGGCAAGGTACCCTTTTTTCCGCCTCCTCATAAAATATCATTTTCTTGCCTGTTTTAATTGGCATTTGATTCATATTTTGTGAATATCTAAGAGGCGAATCAATATTGAGGCCCTTCTCTTTGTAATTATCGTAGTATGGATATTTAACTTTTTTGTAATCATTTATTTTTCCAAATTCGTGACTTATATTTGGCACAAAATCGTTTTTTTCTATCTTGAGATGGGAAAAATCGTTGACGTATCGTTTAGTTCTTTTATGAATTTTAAAAAACTCTTTAGTTATGTCTTTCAATGCTTCTTCGGCATTGTTACTTGGTACATTATTATTAGATTTTATAGGTTTAGGAATAGCTGTCGTTGGCAATGTTGTAATTGGAATTTCTTCTGGAATATCTTGATACTCTGTCGATGGATATTTTGTAAAAGGTATTTCAGTAGTTGGTGGGATTTCCTCTATATAGATTCCACTAAAATTGGTAACATTTCCCAATTTTTTTTCTTTCTCCTCATATTTTTGTCCTACTTCTGAGTCAGCATTGCTTTCGTCATAATTAGTGTTACCTGTGTCTGCTTGTGGTTTATTTCTTCGTATGGTTTTATATATTTTAGGATAGATTTTAACGTACTTATGAGATTTGGTGCTATTATTTGGTTGTAGAATTATTTTCACTTTACTAGAAATTTCGGTTTCGGTATTTCCATCATCTTTCTCTTTAGTAGTCATTGTTTTAGTTTCCTTGGTACTAATAAAATTATTATTTCTTTTTGGTATCATAGGAAGTTCTGTTGTAAATTGATTTTCTTCATCTTCCTCTTCCTCTTCGTTTTCGGTAACTTCTTCAATATTTTCTATAGGAAGGTCTTCAAATTGAGTTCCTGCAACATCAGTATCATCGATACCCAACTGTTCATGTTTAATTTTTTCAATTTCCTTATCGCTAAGTAATTCACCTCCATATGAAAATTTTGTTCGATGCAAATTAGGTAAATGAAGATTATACTTAGCTTCTGGAACCTTCTTTTCTTTTTTCTCTAATTTCGCACGCTGCAAGTCTTCAAATCCTTCATCATTTTCAGCCTCTTTTTCATGACCTGCATGATCATAGGCACTATCTTCGTAGCCTTCTTCAGTATATACAGTATGAATTTTTGATTCTTTTATAGCTTCTCGTAGTTTTCCATCATCAGCTTCTTCTAAAGGTAAATATTCCATGTCTTCGCTAGCTCGTACCTGTGCGTATAATCTTGTGGGAACGAATTCATCTTCTTCAGTCTCTTCGCTTTCACTTTCATTTTCTGGTATAGGCTCTCTGGAAGATTCTTTACTCGCAGATTTACTTGAATCAATCGAATGTTGTTTAATAAAACTGCCTATTTGATGCTGTTCCGGAAAAGATCTGAAACGTTGGATGGCACCATCACCAGTTAAATTAAATAGTTTTTGACCTTCAAGAAAAGTATCGTACCCATCAGGTTCAACTTCGTCTTCTTTTAAATTGTCGTAGGTTTGTTGGCTGATGTAGGGTCTGTGTGTCAAACCAGGTTGAGCCCAAAGACCTTCACCGGGGTAAATAGGTCTTGTTGGTATTTCCTGTGGAACTTCGTGAGTACTAGCTGGTGGCTTTTCTACTTCATCTCTTTCAAATTTTGGGTCTTCCTCTTTAACGTAATGCATATCGGTTTTTTCTGGCTCAAAAATCTTTTCATCTCTGTAATTTTTATAAAGGTGACTGAAATATCCAATATCATTTTGTTTAGGGGAGTAATTTTCTATTTTGTTTTCTTCAGGTTTATGGTATGCGGAATAACTGTTTTGATTGTCTGGATTATTTTCTTTAGCATATGTAACTCTCTTATCTCCAGAAAAAGCATAATTAGGTGAAACATCATTTTTCACTGAATCAAAATAATTTACGATATTCTTATTTGGTGTATAGGTATTTTGATCATTTGACGCAATCTTAGGTTGTTCAAATGTTGGTACATAATTTGAATCTGGTTTGGTTCTAATGGGAGTATCCAACTCGTAAGGTTTATAATTGTGTTGTTCTTGTGACAGAACCGAATTTGATTTAGGTTTCACTGTAATAGGGAGGTTGAAGGAATTGTCGAAGTTCGTATAGCCGGGTGAACTAAGGTTAGGTACATTTGGATACTGAGAATGCGAGTGGTGATAATCTGGAGATTGTAAGTATTTGGGTCTTTTCTGAATTTGAGGATATATATTAGAAAATGTTTTTAAAGGATGCTGAGGTATAAACAATGAACTGCTAGGAAAGTGATCAGGTTTTTTATATGTAATATAAGGCACTGTTTGTTTTATGTTTTGTAATACATTCTTTTCAGGTTTTACGTAAGGTTTTTTCTTCTTATACATTGGTTGAATATGTTTTTTGTAATAATTAGGTTTTATTTTAACATATTTTTTAACTTTAGTGGAGCTTCTTTTTGGTAAAACGGGAGTCCATCTACTCCCACTGATGATTACCTCAGGTTGAATACTAGGAAATCTGTGTGTGTTTGCGTAAACATTTTGATGTTGGACTCCACCTTCTCTTCTAGGTCTTAAATCTTTGTATGTAACGGGATACAGTTCTCGCCAATTATTTGGTACTCGTATTGCACTATTTATTGCAACTATACTTAGTAATACTAATAAATTCTTCATTTTAAAAAGTCTTTTGATTTAATTCTCGGTCGTTCAAAAATATATGAATCACAGATATGTGTGATAGGCGGATAGCCATGTTAGGTTTGTGATTTTGTAGAAATGTATTATGTTAACATTGTTATTGGCACTTTCTACGTAGACTGTTTAAGATGCATAGTTCACTGCCAAAATCGGATTCGAAGATTAATCTGGTAGCTAAAACAGAAATAAATATAGTTAGTCAATAATTAATAATCAATTTATTGTTGTTCTTGTACGATTTGTATTTGGGATTGCAAATATTATAATTTTAAATCACACTTTACTGTATACATTAAGACTAATAATGTCAATATTGCCAATGACAATATAACTTTAGAAAGTAGGCGCCTTAAATTATTTCTTAGTTTCACAGGTGTTTAAATATAAAAGTTCAAATAACTGAAAAAAATGAATTTTAATAATTTTGTGGTAAAAACTTTATAATAATAAAACATAGAAATACAGTTTATCTACAGTCGATTGCATTGTACCGACCAAAATGGACCGGTTGTATCGCCACTGAGATCACCAGAACTAAATTCTAGTAATTTTTTTCTTCTATTGTTTTATGAAAAGTTTATTTTATATGTATAAAACTAAATATACAAAAGGAAAATATATTGCAAAAATAGAACAAGCTGCAGCAACAATTAGAGGAAAAAATATTTCTCTATTAGGTATCGTTATAGAATAGTAATTACGGCGAATGGAGCTTTGTGTAAATAGAAATACATGATTTAATTAAGACAGGACCGTATTGGACGCATTTTGGAATAAAATAATGTAAATTTATTACTTTGGAGATTTTCAGAAGTTATTTGAAAATGTCCTTTCGTGATAATTTTACTTTTGTACTTCTGTTAGGTTTTGCCAACTAGCTAAGAAACTATCCATCAAACTGTAACCAAAACAAAACAAAAATATTATTTATTTCAATAACAGGTTTATTGACTTTATTTATGTAACTTTTTTATTTTACCAAATACATCATTGTCTAGCTCATGACACATTTATTATCTCATAAAATAATCCATAACAGACCATTATAAGGTTCGTTACCTTACCCAGAGATTTTTTAAGAATATTTCGAACAATTTTATTTGACTACATAATTTGAACATTCGGAAACAAATTTTTTTGCCTACCATATGTGAAAATGAATCATATCAACCCTAAAAAATATAACCGAACATAACGTACCTATATCGTCCCATAGGCTACTAAACTCATAACAGCCCAATTTTGTCGTTTTTCACTAGATATCTAGATACCTTTGACTGTCACTTGCGCACTTTGATTCACATAAATATTAATTACTACAATAAATACAATTTACTACTTAAGTTTCTTGTATTTGTAAAATTAAAGATTTACGTTATATTTTCCTTTTCTTTGTTTTTTTTTTTGTAGACGAAAAATAATTGTGCGTCACCCATGCAGAAAACGCTTAAGCAGCCCTTAGCTATCAGCTGCCTACGCTTCGCTTCGCTCGCCCATGCAGCTAATAGCCGTGGGCTGCTAAAGCTCATTTTCTGCCCTCGTGATACAATTTACTATTAAAAATCCTCCTACGAATTAATAAGACTATCCAAGAACTCCAAATTTGAAAACAAATACATGGAGATCTGAAAAAAGCCTGTCGCAGCCATGACTCGAACCTTTACATCTTTGTAGGCTAAACAAGTGCTCTTTCTTCTAGACCACCACGATATTGACTATCGGGATTCCTAAACAGAAATGTGCTAGTTCAGGCCAGACGGTGGTCAAGCTTGTTATCAAATCTTTAAATACATCTATACCGCATCAGAGAATTGGCTAACACCGTCCGATATAAAAGAACCACCTCTTGGAGTTGTTGTCAACTACATTAAATTTGTATGCTGGCTCACGAGCTAGGAGGTGCCTATATACTAAGGAAAGTGAGGAATGGGCCAAGTAAGGCCTTAGTGCCGAGGGTTATCCCTTCATCCACACGTTACAAATACAGATATAGAACAGTCGAGCATTACATAAATATTTTAGTTTTTCCTGACAATTTTAACTTTTAACATGTAAAAAATTAGATTGGTATACTCGTAAATGTTTATAACAACAACCACATAAATGTTTTACCAACAACAACAAAAAGTTTTGACTTGAACCGTGACGAAGTTACTAAATTTTTAAATAATTTAATTATAAAATGTTAAATTTAAGGTAATTTTAAATATGTTTATTTCAAGTTAATTTCCACCTGATAACGCTTTGAGGAACCCCAATTACAGAACCCTATTGAAAATGTATGGGTATTTATAGTCAATAAGATATATTAAAAAGACTTTAGTCCGGCAAACTGCAGTAAACTATGGGAAATTATTGAAAATGCTCGGGAAGGAGATGAGACATTTAATTTTGTCCATGCCAAGAAGACTGAAAAGTATTGTGGCAGCCTATGGATCTACAACAAAACTTTAATAACACTATTCTTGCTATAGCTGTTAAATTTTGAGGAGAGCATTTTCTTTATTTTCATCAGAAAATATCCCTAAACCTTGTCTGAAAGGTCCTCGAACCTTTCTTTCTAGCTTTTCTTAACTTTAACTGACATTAAATTTAGCACACACTTTTAAAGACCAATTTTGGTACAGTCTTTGATTTTCTCTTGTAATAAATGGTTCTGCCTAGTTTTTAATTTAATTTTGTAATAAATGTTTTTGTTATTTTATATTTTTTTGTATTGTACATTTAATGTAGATAAGATGGATTCGATAAAACGGCACCAATAAAAGTAATATTTTTGTTTTCAATCGAACCCGGATTCTTGGGTTCGATTCCCGACTGCGACAGGCTTTTTTCAAAACTTCAAGTATTTGTTTTCACCCTTGGGGTTCAGGGATGCTCTTGATAATTTGTAATTTTTGAGACATGTTTCTGACTTTTCAAATTATTTAACTACTTATTTCAAATACGTTTTATATTTAGATTAGCGAGTTTATGATAAATCAATTTACAATTTTCATTCTTTCCTCTTTTTGTAAGACCACTAGCCAGATACCAGATACAGGAATGAATTTAAGTAAAAAATCCTACCCCTTTTTACAAGAAATAATAATTTGTTTTAGATAGTATAAACAGAATATGTTTATAATGATAATGTAATATATTACCGAAAAATAAAAATGATAAAAGACTGTCAAATGTTGGCTGGGAACATTTTTCAATTGAAATTGTCACTAGTCTCCCTAGAGCTTAAACTATTACCAGATATTTTTACGAATACACGATTTTTTGATATTTTTTTTTGAAAATTTTTCAAAGAAATCTCATCAAAAGAAAAGTTTTCGGTTATTAATTCAGGATCGTGGGAGATTCAGAAAGAAAATTTAACAGCAAAATGAAATTATTAAATTAAAAATAAGTACAGTTTCACGATTCGCAGACAACACGGTGGCCTCATCACGGTTGTTAAGGACGCAGTGACGTCACGGAATGAAAAATCGAGCTGACAGAAAATATTCTACTTAGGGTCGTACATTATTTTTTTAAAAATCTAATATTTATTGCTGTTTATATATTTTTATTTTTAAACTGTATACCTGTGTTGCAGTTTTTATAAAATCGGTAATTTGATTTTTTAAAGACAAGCTACAAAACGACACGGAAAAATCATATAATGATTTCCATCAAATTTCAAATTAATTACTTTTTATTTAAATTATTAAGAGAAATAATATTGTGTAAATGGTTTATTTTAAACATTTTGGGTTAGGGTATGGCCTTCGAGCTGAATTCGGATCACACTTTGTTTATATTCAGAAATATTTTGAAATTTTGGCAAGCCAGAGCCAGCCGTCTGTGTTGCTGTTGGCAAAGAATTTTTACGTTTTACAAACAAAAATTTGACAAAAATCAATAGAAGAAATAAAAGAACTGAATCTAACTCAAATTAAAGGCTAATGGTGAGATTTTATAGTAATATTTTGCATATATCATTCACTGTTATTAAATTAGTTACAGCTTCTGTCTACCCTACATTCAAAAGCAGATGATATGGTTTCTTACAAGCATTAAACACAAAGAAAAGCAAGAAAACTCAAATCCCTTTATTAAAAAAACCTACATTATTAAAAAAGGGTTTGCTGCAGGAAGTTTTTAGTAAAAAGTTACAAATAATTTTATAGAAGAAAACAAGAGCATGTTGGACTTCAGAAAAAACATACAACATAATATATTTATATCAGAAATAAAAATATATTTTGTCAGTTTCTTGTTATTTGATGTGTGAAGAGTATAATTTACTTAAAAAAAAAAACAATAGAACAACTTAGTTTTATTATAATAATCTATAAATACAGGTACCCAATTAGAGAAAAAAGTTTTATGTATTGTGTTTACATACATACAATATACAGAGGAGATTTAACATTACATATACTTGGAGTATTTAAATAAATCATCCAGAAGACCGAATCTTAGATTTAGTTTAGCAGCACTTTTGTAAAGTGTAGCAAGGGTAATCTTATCGTTAATGATTTACAAATTCCTTCTCAACTCTAACATGCCCTCCTTTTCTTCTATAAAATTATTTGTAACTACTTTTTACTAAAAACTTCCTGTAGCAAAGCCTTTTTTCAATAATTTAGTTCTTTTAGTAAATCCCTTAGACTTTTCTTTGTGTTTAATGCTTGCAAGAAACTATCTCATCTGCTTTTAAATGTAGATTTAAAAGCTGCAATTAATTTAATAATGGTGAATGCAAAATAATAATCTAAAATCTTACAATTAGCATTAATTTTAGTTTAGGCCGTTTATTTCTTCTTTGATTTTTTTCAGAGTTTTGTGTGCAAAAAGTAAAAATAATTTGCCAATAGCAACACTACGACTCGTTCCAGGCTTGCCAAAATTTAAAAATATTTCGGAATATAAACAAGGTGTGATCCGAATTCAGCTCAAATCCCGTACCTTAATCCAAAATGTTTTAAATAAACCATTCACACAATATTCCTCTTTATAATTCAAATAAAATTCATTTGAAATTTGATGATTTTTCCATGCTGTTCTGTAGTTTGTTTTTCAAAACATTAAATTATCGATTTCATAAAAACAATAACATAGGTATATAGTCCAAAAATAAAAATATAAACACTAAATAATAAAAAAATATTAGATTTTTTTAAAAACTAATGTACAAACCG